CACTTTCCACATCTTTCTTGTCTGATTTCCCACACTAGTGACTAACACATTTCTAGGAAAATTTAAAATGTCTTTTTTCCCATCAGTACAATTTGGATACCTTTTTGTCAAAAATCCAGAAATAACAGAAGTAAAACCAATGACTCACTGAAGTAATAATAAGTAAAAGTTTATTGTGCACATGACAGAAAGATGTTTGCCAACTGGAAGCACTCAAACTAAAACATGGAATGGGGCTCAGAAGTATATTGTTATAAAGCAGCTTATATGGTGTGCAAGTAGTAACTCTTTATTCTTCTCAGTGATTGGTTCTAATATTACAATTTCCTTAAATGATAGGGAATTGATCAGTGGCTATCTCATATCAACCGTAGGAAAGAGTTTGGCTTGTGATTTTCAGAGACAGCAACAAAAGTTAGCCTTGTAGAATAAGCCGAATTAAGCTTTGTTGGTCTGACTAAACTGGCTTTGTCTGCTCAGGGAACTTTCAAGACTGGTCTCCATTTTTTTTTTTTTACTTTAACACTTTATTATATCTAATCCATTTGTAGGAATGGGTAAGTGTAAGTAATTCCAAACAAGTAGAGGTTTATTTTTCTCACCACACACGGAGTCTAGAGTACTGGTTCAGTAACTCAGGGATGTCAATAGTTGTAACTTTAGAATTCCTGTGGCATTTTCTTTGTATTTGTTATTTCATTGTCTGTCCTCTTCCAGAACTACCTCCACCTCCACACTCCCTTATATCCAGGAATTTCTGCTCAGGCCTCACTGGCTCTGCCTGGGGCATCTGAAAAGCCCTCCCCACTGGGGAGTCTGGGAGAGGGTTATTAGACTGGTCCCAACAGATCATGAGCCATTGTCTGGAACCAGACTCTAACTGAGCATTCTCAGGAATCTGTAAAGAACACGGTAGTGTTTGGTATTGACCAGGCCATTAGCCATTATCTTCTAAATCAGCATCTCTATTCACTGCTCTTGCCACTCCTAGTCATAAACACTTTTACCTGAGCTATTGTAATTATTCATCAAAACAAATCTATGAGTAGGCATCTCCTTTTACATTGAGAAAAGTGAGGCAGCGAATGGGTGGTGGGTATTGGATTCAAACTCAGACCATGCTGGTGCTCTTAGGCACCTTCCTATGGTGGTTACGTGAGCACTAGAGGCAAAGTGATTGCCTTTTCTCATTGAGAACAGGAAACATGACGTCACACTCATGACTAGAGAGAAGGATCTCCTGAGCCTTCTATATGAGAGAAGGAGCCAAGGATTGTTTGTCATAACAGATGACCCAGAATTTTCTTGAAGCGCTGTCTCTCTTCTGAGCCCCTGGACACTTTCATTTCTGTACCCATTCCAGGAATTCTATCTTGATCTTTTGTATCCTTTTGCCCGGGATCCCCTTTTCTGTCAATTTATGGCACGTTTCTATAAAGTATAATTCGTACAGTGTGGGTGAGCCTAGTCATTTCTTGCCTGTGTCAATTACCCTTGTGTAATGAAATCTTTTCAAGAAACACACACAATCAGTGTGCCTCCTTTGGGCATAGGGAAGAGTTTACAGTTCACTGAAGACACTGTTGCATATTTTCCACGTGGACTGACTGTACTTACATCTGGTTTGAAGCCAGCAGCTTTGGCCTATATTTCAGGCTGTGCAGCTGCAGGAGGGTTGGTGCTGTGCTCACTTACAGGGAAATTATCTGGACTTTCACAGTGGAGATCTAGGAGCCCCTTGTTTAGACTGAAGAAATGCTGGGGCTTCTATTTTTTTTTAACCACTTCCTTTTTTTGGTGGTGGTGGGCCTGGGTGCACTATGTATGGTAAGCACAATAAAAGATGATGTGCTAGCACCTATGATTTGATATTGGGGAAGAAGACATTCTTCTTTTATAATGCCCCAATATCAACATGCACTCTTAAGTGAGCCTTTTCCTTTCCACTCTGCAGCTCAGAAATGAAAAGCCATTCCACATACCTGACATATTATTAGCACCTCGAGGTAAGTTATGTGGTCTCCTCATGCATTCCCAGAATCTGAGAAAGCTTTGGAGACCATAGCACCTCCCTATAGAGCAGGGGTCAGCAAACTTTTTCTATGAAGGATATTAAATATTTTTTTAAAAATCTTTATTGATTTCAGAGAGAAAGGGAAAGGGAGATAGAAACATCAACAGTGAGAGAATATCATTGGTCAGCTGCCTCCTGCACGCCCCACACTGGGGATTGAGCCTGCATCCCAGGCATGTGCAG